AGGCATCTACATGCTGGTGTAAGGACATGGATTGCCGAGCCTGTGGTAAAAAGGGCCACATCAAGCGAGCCTGCAGAAACAAAAGGAGCTCACAGGAAATGTCAAAGACTGAAAACAAGAAAGAGTCAATCCAACAAAAGAAAAAGACACGTTCACGCTGTTGAGCAAGAGAACACAGAGGTGAGTTACTCATCAGACGAGGAAGTCACTGAATAATCTGACTGTTGCTGGGGGGCCGCACGACTACTATGTCTCTGAGATTGACACAGGGGCAGCTGTATCTCGTGTCAGACAGTCTTCTACAAAAAGACATTGAAACACCTTCCACTTCAGGTGAATCTGTCGCCGTGAGAGGCATCACTGAGGTCACAGTTCAATTAAACTGACAAACTGAAAAGCTGTCACTACGTCGTGAAAGGAGACTATTCATCACTACTGGGACGTTCGTGGTTGGAGACAATCACATTGGACAGGCCATCAGTGTCTACAATAATACATGGAGACACATATCTTCCCCGCCATCTTAAAGAAACATGGAGAAGTCTTTAATGGAGAGCTGGGTTGCATGAAAGACATTACAGTGAAGCTTAGCAACAAACCAACGTTTTTGAAAGCACAACCCCTAGCTATCAGACCAAATGTTGAGGCGGACTTGGACGTGTTTGTCAAGAACAAAGTACTGGAGCCAGTCAGCGTGAGTGAATGGGCAACACCCAACACCCACAGTTAACCCTGTGTTGTCCGCTCAGCAGTATCCGCTACCACACATTGACAACCTTTTCACGGGCATAGCTGGGGGTCAAAAGTTCAGCAAAATCGACCTCTGCAAAGCTCAAGTAGATGAAAAGTTAAAGGAGCTGCTGACCATCGTGACACACACGGGGCTCTTCAAGTACTGTCGTCTACCATTTGGAATCACAAGTGCGCCAGCGCTGTTCCAGAGGGCAATGATTCAGATCTTGAGTGGATTGCCAGGAGTATAATGCTACCTGGATGACATCCTCATTACTGGAAAGGACGAAGAGGACAATCTACAGAACTTGTAGATGGTCCTCTTCGTCTTAAAAGGTCAGTGTTGTATTTTGAGACGGTCTTGAATAAGCCAAGTAGCCAATAGACAGAGGGTAGCATAGTTTGTCTGATTCTCTGTAATAATGGTATGGGAATGATAAATAATTGTATTTTGTAAACTGTTTTTTTGCATCAAACAACACATTTTCAAATCACTTCCTTGTCTGAAGGACAAGTGGATAAACAGGTTAATGTCAAGCCAGGCATGTTTTTAAAAAAAGTATCATGGAATGTAGGCCTACATTGAACATCACACATTGGCTGCTACTGTAGGCTGAATGATAGAACAGCTATTTCCATGTTATGGGATGCGTTTTTTGTTACGTATACTCTGGGAGTCAGGATGCAGGTGCAGAAGGTGAGTTAAATAATAATAAAAGGCAGATAAACAAAACAGGAGAAGCGTACTGAACAAAACCAATACTGCCTGATGACTGAGGCTACTGAGGGCTAAATAAAGGGAGAGTAATCAAGGTGATGATGAGGTCCAGGTGTGCGTAACGATGGTGCCAGGATCGGTGGTTAGTAGACCGGTGACGTCGAGCGCTGGAGAGGGGGAGCGGGAGTAGGCGTGACATTCTTCTCCATTGTTTTTGATGGTAGGCCACTCTGGTAGGCCTACATTATGATCAAAGAGCCACAGTAGCATACTTGGCCATTGTTAAAACCTCTTCAGGATCTGACCCTTTTTTTCAATTTTCGCCTAAAATGACATCCCCAAATCTAACTGCCTGTAGCTCAGGACCTGAAGCAAGGATATGCATATTATTGCTATAATTTGAAAGAAAACGGGCGGCAGGTAGCTTAGTGGGTAAGAGCGTTGTGCCAGTAACCGAAAGGTTGCTGGTTCTAATCCCCGAGCCGACTAGGTGAAAAATCTGTCGATGTGCCCTTAAGCAAGGCACTTAACCCTAATTGCTCCTGTAAGTCGCTCTGGATAAGAGCGTCTGCTAAAATGTAATGTAAATGTAAAACACTATTAAACAAATCAATTTTGTGGAAATGTGAAATTAATGTAGGAGAATATAACACATTATATCTGGTAAAAGATAATACAAACAAAAAAACATGTGTTCTATTATTATTTTTGTTGCATCATCTTTGAAATGCAAGAGAAAAGCCAGACAGTGATGTAGGATTCTAGATGTAATTTAGATGTTGTCCACCAGATGGCAGCAGTGTGTGTGCAAAGTTTCAGACTGATCCAGTGAAGAATTACATCACTACACAATATTTTGTATCAAGTCTGCCAGGAGTTTTCCCAAATGTGCCGAATTGGCTTTCAATTACATAACTATAGAGAACATACAAAAATGCTATGGTAATACAACATTTCAGTTTGCACACTCCCAGGAATGTCATAAATGATGGATCAATAGCTTGCCTACAGAAATTACACTAACCTTCACACATCTAGATGGCCGGGCGGGGTGGGTGTGGAGTCAGAGGTCAAACTGTAGAATCCAGTTCCTACATTTGAATATAAAAATTGATTTTTCAAATGAAACTACACTACATTTTATCTCTGGGACCCTCAGGATGACAAATCAGAGCAAGATTACTGAATGTAAGTACATGATTTACCTTCAGAGGTGAATGTACCAAACCAGTTGCCGTGATAAAAGTGTTTTGTTGTTGTGCACTATCCTCAAACAATAGCATGGTATTCTTTTAGCTGAAATAGCTACTGTAAATTGGACACTGCAGTTAGATTAACAAGAATTTAAGCCCATATAAGACATGTCTATGTCCCGGAAAGTTGGCTATTGTTTACAACACCATTGTAAACAATAGATACTTTTGTTAGTCTGGATTGGATGGAAGCATTGAAGAGAAAGTGAAAAGATATTCCTCATGTCAGAAGGTTCGCAACGTACCTCAACTTGTACCTCTTCATCTGTGGGATTGGCTGGAGGTGTGGCAATGCATAAATGTCGACTTTGCAGGTCCATTCGAAGACAGAATGTTTCTTGTGGTCATGGATGCTGATAGGTAGTGGCCAGAGGTTGCCATCATGAGGTCTACTACTGCTGAGAAGACCATCAAGAAGCTTGGAGAAGTGTTTAGTAGATTCGGATTGCCACTCCAACTTGTTAGCAACAACGGACCGCAGCTGTCCCAAGAATTGGCCACGTTGGCCATGTTCCTACAGGTGAATGGCATACAGCACATCAGGTCCACCCGTCACATCCAGACCATGAAACAGGCCTTAAAAGCATCTCAGGGCCAAGGAACACTGCACCAACGCTTGAACAGCTTCCTGCTATCCTACAGGAACATGCCTCACGCAACCACCAAGGCTTCGCCTGCATGGCTACTCATGAAGAGAGAGCTATGCCCAAGCTTCGACCTACTCAAACCTCAGTAAGCAAAGGAGACAATGCAATGTCAACAGGAGAGCCAAGTCAAACATCATGAACTGCGAGCAAAGGACAGAGCTTTTAGTCCTGGAGAAACTGTCTTAACTAGGAACTACCTCAGCGGACCAAAGTGGGTTCCTGCTACAGTCTTTTCAGGACAGTTGTTCATAATGGTTACAATTTATGTCCAAGGGGAGAAGGTGTGGTGTATTGGGGTTGTGCCGCAGAGCATCATGGGTATTGTATGTGTTGTAGACCGGGCACGTTCCAGATAAATGGTTGAACTGATTCCGGTCTCCCGTCTCATCATTATTGCATTTTTATAAAGACGTGGTTATGAAACCCATGAGACATAACAGTATTGTTTGAAGGCAGGTAAGTGCTAATTTTCCCTTTGGTCCAAAGAGAAGCTCAAATTCTACTTTATCTCACACACCAGTGTGTGTACAATACTGAGTCAACAAAAACGCAGCGCTTCAAAAGCAGAAGTATTTATTCTAAGCTTATAAGAGGGTCATAATTTCTCCTGTGTCCCATGTACCATCTGTTCTGCCCCACGTAGGCAAACACACAATCTATTTTCATAACACTACCTGAAGGTGTAATTTGCAAGTTCTACATTGATTGCCTCCCCCTGCATTATTGCTTTCTTCATTTTCCTCCCTCTTTCCATCCCTCCTCCTCATGCCTCTCTGTCTCATGGCGCATTGTTAAGGCACCTCCAATAACTGGATAAAGGAGACACCAGGGAGACGGAGCTGATGAGAGAGAAATAGAGATAGCTGAGGCATCATAACTTATACACCACCACGATAAAATGAATCCCTCCTCATGACCCTTTTATGGTGTCCGTGTGTGTGCGTGTGTATGTGTGCAGTCTGCACACATCTGGGTGCAATGGATGGGTATACAGTATCGGTGAGACTGCAGAATGAACTTTAGAGTTGGGAAGGTTATTTAAGCTCAGAAACAGGAGGGAGGTGGTTGGTGGAGAAGACTGCTTTGAAAAAGTTTGAGAGAACGACTGTCGATTAGAGAAAATTGATGGAAAAGAGGAGCAAAGCAGTGAACACAAAACACCTGACTGCACTCTTGGAGAGTTCAATATAAAAGTCTTTATTCTACAAAATTGGTGTTTAAAAAAAGAAGAAACTTCAATCTGAGAGCGCCAGAGTAGATTATTTTTTGATTATACTGATTTAAGTATTACAGGACAAACCTATCTATCTGGTGCAGGATTTCTCTTCTCTTTTAGACAAAATACATCTATATTTTGACACTTCTCACTTGGTTCCTCATTTTGACAGGAACATTTCCTCCTATCGACAAGTGAGATCAATCTAAAACTCAACTAAAACTCAAATAGTAACAACTAAAACACTTAAAAGACTTCCTGATAAGTGTGCTGTACAGTTAGCTAGGTTCATGTTTATGTGCAAAGAAAAAGGTCAGTCAAATCAACTACATTCTGAAGCTGGCTGGCAAGATTATGTCTGATGAAGGTCCCTGACCGAAACGTCACTGTATGTTTATAACATTGGATCTACAAAAACAAGATAAAACTTGCATTTAGATCTGCAGTAGCAGAGCCACCCCAGCTAGGGTCCACTTGGAAGGGTACTCTTTGGTCTTGAGATTGAAGGTCCATACATAGGTGGGTCCTCTCTGTTGGGTCTTGTAGACGGGACACTGGTAGACGTTACGCACCTCCTGCTTGTCAACAGGGATGGCTCTGATGAAGATGACGGGCATGGTGGGGGTCAGTTCCTTCAGACGGGCATCCACCATCATACCAGCCTGATGAGAGAGGGAGAGGACATGAAGGACAATGACATGGTTTTTGAGAAAAAAGTGTCTCAAATGTACACTTTTCTTCAGTGTAGGTGCCCTTAGGACAAACAATAGGAATATTGTGAAAATTTATTATTACCATCTAAATAAAGCAATTTTATTTCCTGAAGGTTGTATTTGGTTGAACTGAATTAAATCCTTCTTAAACACTACAGCAAATGTAATTTAATTAATCTGACTGAGTTGGCAGAAGTACACTTTAGGGGCTCAATATTTGGGGTACCCTTGAACAGTGTGTGAAAGTCACTGTGAGTCTGAAGTCATCCTGTCCTCTCCTGCCTTTCAGAGCTGACTTTCCAAACACGCTCAAACAGGAAACAGAGTGGTCCGTCTCACTAATTAATCCTCTCTCCACTTAGTGTCCGGGAGACAGAAGTTCCACCACGACGCTAGCTGACTCCAGGAAACAAATGTAAATCCTGATGACTTTGGAGGAGACGCTCGGAGGACGAAGAGACAAAGCCACTTTATGACGTCCGTCTGAATTACAGCCCTAATTGCGTCGGCAGTTGGCTGTAAAACTTTAGTGTTCTTTTAAACACTGATAGCTTTATGTGTATTTAGGTAAATAGGAATAATGAGGGTCGTAAAAGACGCCGTCCCATCTCATTGAAATTCATGACAAATGATCAGTTTTATCTTCTTGAAGTTGTATGGGGTTGATATAAATATAAAAAGATAACAGCAACCGTCACCATTAGGAGAGAATAAACATTTATTTGTCGCAAGGCTAGAACTGGCTATAGTGTATCTTATTAATAAGCTACAGTACTTCCACAGATCTAAGTGAATCTGAACAACCCTTTAACTGGAACAGAATATGGAAAAATATGACCATGGCATTCCGTAACCCGTTCATCAACCTGTACATTATAAGTATGTTCACAGACTGTATTTAACACCAAGGAAAAGTTTTACGATATCATTGTCCCCAACACCTAACTGTTCACTGTGTCCCCTAAATCAGGTAGGCACATTCCTTCATATGATGTGGGAGTGCCCTGCAATTAAATGCTTTTGGGACAAAGTTACTAAATTAATTTCGAAGTGCATGAATGTAAATATTCAATGTTATCCTATGTTACTTAACAATGATAGCTCCTTGAATCTCTCAGAGACGATTACCACTGGCAGACAAGCACTGCCGCAAAAAAGATGTTGGCTCTTAGATGGCAATCACCCCACTCACTCCCAATTTGCCAGTGGATACATGTTCTATTAGATGTTATAACATTATAATTATCGACAGCGAGAATGAATGGTGCTAGTCAAGGAACAATTGAGGCCTGGACAAATATACTTACATTTGACATTTTAGTCAATTAGCAGACGAGCTTATCCAGAGCGACTTCCAGTTGGTGCATTCATCTTAAGATACACTACATGACCAAAAGTATGTGGACACCTGCTCGCCGAACATCTTATTCCAAAATCATGGGCATTAATATGGAGTCACAAAAGTTTGGAGGCGTGAGGAGGGGGTGCTGTGGGATTATTTAACATACTCTTTGAAGAAGTAGGGTTTCAGATGTTTCCAGAAGATGGGCAGGGACTCTGCTGTCCTAGATTCAGGGGGAAGCTGGTTCCACCATTGTGGTGCCAGGACAGAGAAGAGCTTGGACTGAGCAGAACGGGAGCTGCCCTCCTGTAGGGATGGGCGGGCCAAGAGACCAGAGGTGCCAGAATAGAGTGCTCGGGTTGGGGTGTAGGGTTTGAGCATAGCCTGAAGGTAGGGAGGGGCAGTTCCTCTTGCTACTCCACAGGCAAGTACCATGGTATTGTAGTGGATGCGAGCTTCGACTGGAAGCCAGTGGAGTGTGCGGAGGAGCGGGGTGAAAATGGGAGAACTTGGGAAGGTTGAACACCAGGCGGGCTGCAGCATTATGGATAAGATGCAGGGGTTTAATGGCACAAGCGGGGAGCCCAGCCAACAGCGAGTTGCAGTAGTCCAGATGGGAGATGACAAGTGCCTGGATTAGGACCTGCGCCGCTTCCTGTGTGAGGTAGGGTTGTACTCTACGGATGTTGTAGAGCATGAACCTGCAGAGGTGAGTCACTGCTATGATGTTTGAAGAGAATGACAGGGTGTTGTCCAGGGTCACGCCAAGGTTCTTTGCACTCTGGGATAGGGAAACCGTGGCGTTGTCAACCGTGATGGAGAGGCCTTTGAGTGGGCAGGGCTTCCCCGGGAGGAAGAGCAGCTCCGTCTTGTTGAGGTTGAGCTTGAGGTGGTGGGCCGACATCCAAGCTGAGCTATCTGCCCGGGACGCAGAGATGTGTATCGCCACCTGGGTGTCAGAAGGGGGGGAAGGAGAAAAGTAGTTGAGTGTCATCTGCATAGCAATGATAGGAAAGACCATGTGAGGATATGCCGGAGCCAAGAGGAGAGGGCCTAGAACTGAGCCCTGGGGGAAACCAGTAGTAAGAGTATGTGGTGGAGACACAGATCCTCTCCACGCCACTGGTAGGAGCAGCCTGCCAGGTAGGATGCAATCCAAGAGTGTGCAGAGCCTGAGACGCCCAGCCATGAGAGGGTGGAGAGGAGGATCTGATGGTTCACTGTGTCGAAAGCAGCAGATAGATTTACGAGGATGAGAACAGAGGAGAGAGAGTCAGCTTTGGCAGTGCGGAGAGCCTCCGTGACACAGAGAAGAACAGTCTCGGTTGAGTGACCTGTCTTGAAGCCTGACTGGTTAGTGTCACGAAGATCGATCTGAGAGAGATAGTGAGAGAGTTGGTAGGGACAGCACACTCAAGTGTTTTTGAAATAAAAGATTGAAGGGATACCGGTCTGTCGTTTTTGACGTCAGTGGGGTCAAGTGTTGGTTTCTTGAGAAGGGGAGCAACTCTGGACATTTTGAAGTCAGAGGGGACGCAGCCAGTGGTCAGGGATGAGTTGATGAGGGAAGTGAGAAGGTCTCCATAGATGGTCTGGAGAAGGGAGGAGGGGATGGGGTCGAGCGGGCAGGTGTCGGGCAGCCGGACCTCACTAGTCACAGGATTTCATCTGAAGAGAGAGGCGAGAAAGAGGTCAAGGCGTAGGGTAGTTCTGTGTGAGTGGGACCAGTGGACTCAATAGGCTGAGTGAAATCTGGAGCGGATGTCGTCAACCTTCTTTTCAAAGTGGTTGACAAAGTCGTCCGCAGAAAGGGAGGAGGGAGGGGGTCGAGGATTAAGGAGGGAGGAGAAGGTGGAAAATAGTTTCCTAGGGTTAAAGGCAGAAGCTTGAAATTTAGAGTGATAGAAAGTGGCTTTAGCAGCGGATACAGAGGAAGAGAAGGTAGAGACGAAGAAGTGATAGGATGCAGTGAGATTAGTAGGCGAGCAGCCTTTAGTAAAGATGAGGTCAAGCATATTGCCTGCCTTGTGAGTGGAAGGAGACTGGGAAAGGGTGAGGTCAAAAGAGACAAGGAGGGGAAAGAAAGAGTTGGAAAGAAATTAATCCAAGTATGAAGAGCGATGAGCCACTGTCAGGAAATGACCTTATTAAGGTGTCAATCTCATTGAGGAACTCTCTAAGGGCACCTGGTGGGCAATAGATGACAATGTTAAGCTTGAGTGGACAAGTGACAGTGACAGCATGGAATTCAAATGAGGAGATGACTCTGTAAATAGTAATCTCAGCTAAAGCCCAACACATACATATAAACAATCTATAAAGCCCAACACATAAACTACATGGCCAAAAGTATGTGGGCACCTGCTTGTCGTACATCTCATTCCAAAAATCATGGGCATTAATATGGAGTTGGTCCCCCCTTTGCTGCTATAACAGCTTTCCACTAGATGTTGGAACATTGCTGTGGGGACTTGCTTCCATTCAGCCACTAGAGCATTAGTGAGGTCGGGCACTGATGTTGGGCGATTAGGCCTGGCTCGCTGTCGGCGTTCCAATTCATCCCAAAGGTGTTCGATGGGGTTGAGGTCAGGGCTATGTGCAGGCCAGTCAAGTTCTTCCACACCGATCCTGACAAACCATTTATGTATGGACCTAGCTTTGTGCACGGGGCATTGTCATGCTGAAACAGGAAAGGGCCTTCCCCAAACTGTTGCCACAAAGTTGGAAGCACAGAATCATCTAGAATGTCATTGTATGCTGTAGGGTTAAGATTTCCCTACACTGGAACTAAGGGGCCTAGCCCGAACCATGAAAAACAGCCCAGACGCTTGGCATTGCGCATGGTGATCTTAGGCTTGTTGCAACCGAGGACAGATTATTTTTACACGCTATGCGCTTCAGCACTCGGCGGTCCCATTCTGTGAGCTTGTGTGGCCTACCACTTAGCGGCTGAGCTGTTGTTGCTCCTAGACATTTACACTTCACAATAACAGCACTTACAGTTGACCAGGGCAGCTCTAGCAGGGCAAAACGTTTACAAACTGACTTGGAAAGGTGGCATCCTATGACGGTGCCACGTTGAAAGTCACTGAGCTCTTCAGTACAGGCCATTATACTGCCAATGTTTGTCTATGGAGATTGCATGGCTGTGTGCTCAATTTTATACACTGGTCAGCAAAGGGTGTGGCTGAAATAGACGAATACACTAATTTGAAGGTGTGTCCACATACTTTGTAGTGTAGTGTACATACAAGCAAAATACAGTGAGGACTCATAATTTCTTCCCGAGACCAGCGGAGTAAAAAACTCATAATTATGTAAACACTCAGTCCAGTTCAAAGTGAATGATGGCAGGCCCGTGTGGCTTGTTTGTATAAAGGCCTACTGTAGCTCTGATTGGCTATTTTGGAGTGACCTGTTAGCTTTCAACAAGGCAAAAGTTTCCATACGTTTTTGTAAAAATGGTCCCACCCATTAAGTCAAAATGTGATTGGTTGCCTTAATATAGTTAGGCAGATGCCTTTATCTAGCTTCTGATGGCCTAATGAATGGCTGACTTAGCTAGCTAGATTTATCTACCCAGAGACCAGCAAATAAATAAGTAAGTGGTGGGGTTGGGGGATGGGGGCTTAGGGGATAAGTGGTGGGGGGCGGGTAGGGGGGCTTAGGAGATAAGTGGTGGGACGGGTAGGGGGGCTTAGGGGATAAGTGGTGGGGGGCGGGTAGGGGGGCTTAGGGGATAAGTGGTGGGGGGCGGGTAGGGGGGCTTAGGGGATAAGTGGTGGGGGGCGGGTAGGGGGGCTTAGGGGATAAGTGGTGGTGGGACGGGTAGGGGGGCTTAGGGGATAAGTGGTGGGACGGGTAGGGGGGCTTAGGGGATAAGTGGTGGGGCGGGTAGGGGGGCTTAGGGGATAAGTGGTGGGGGGCGGGTAGGGGGCTTAGGGGATAAGTGGTGGGGGGCGGGTAGGGGGGCTTAGGGGATAAGTGGTGGGGGGCGGGTAGGGGGGCTTAGGGGATAAGTGGTGGGGGGCGGGTAGGGGGGCTTAGGGGATAAGTGGTGGGGGGGCGGGTGTATGCACTCACTAACTGTAAGTCGCTCTGGATAAGAGTGTCTGCTAAATGACTAAAATGTAAAATGTAAGTGGTGGGGGGGCTTAGGGGATAAGTGGTGGGGGGCGAGTGGGGGTTTAGGGGATAAGTGGTGGGGGCTTAGGGGATAAGTGTTGGGGGGCGGGTGAGGGTGGGCTTAGGGGATAAGTGGTGGGGACTGACAACCAACCTGTGTTGACTCGGTCTCGGACCCCCTTCCGGTCTTGATCTTGACTCGGACTTGATTTGCTCCGGGTCTTGAATCGTTCTCGCTTTAGGTGGTCTCGAACACAACACTCCTATTTTCATATTTTTTACTTTCTTTGCTTTTAGGGTTGGTATGGGAGGGTTAAGCATCCTTGGTTGATAAACAACCTTGGATGTTTAGGGGTGTGGGGGATTAGGGGCTAAGTGGTAGTGGGGGGGGGGGCTTAGGGGATAAGTGGTGGGGTTGGGGGATAAGTGGTGGGGCGGGTAGGGGGGCTTAGGGGATAAGTGGTGGGGGGCGGGTAGGGGGGCTTAGGGGATAAGTGGTGGGACGGGTAGGGGGGCTTAGGGGATAAGTGGTGGGGGGCGGGTAGGGGGGCTTAGGGGATAAGTGGTGGGGGGCGGGTAAGGGGGCTTAGGGGATAAGTGGTGGGGGGCGGGTAGGGGGGCTTAGGGGATAAGTGGTGGGGGGCGGGTAGGAGGGCTTAGGGGATAAGTGGTGGGGGGCAGGTAGGGGGGCTTAGGGGATAAGTGGTTGGGGGCGGGTGTATGCACTCACTAACTGTAAGTCGCTCTGGATAAGAGCGTCTGCTAAATGACTAAAAATGTAAAATGTAAGTGGTGGGGGGGGGGGGGGGGGGGGGGGCTTAGGGGATAAGTGGTGGGGGGCGAGTGGGGGTTTAGGGGATAAGTGGTGGGGGCTTAGGGGATAAGTGTTGGGGGGCGGGTGAGGGTGGGCTTAGGGGATAAGTGGTGGGGACTGATAACCAACCTGTGTTGCTAGGCTGGGTGGGAAGGAGTGGAAAACATGGTTTCCGAGTGGTGGGGGAATGGGATGGGGGTGTAGGCCCACCTAATTTTGTTTCTCTTTTCTTTACATACCAATTGTATTATTACAAAATCCTGTAATACAGTACTGAACACACAGCATAAACATACACACACCCTTCCCATACCCCACTATCATCTCTAGATATTTATTATATACACATAGAGTGCTACTGTGTATTCCCCCATCTTTGATGTCCGCATCCCCTGAATAAGTAGCTTGGCTCATTCATATAGATGAGCTGGTTTATCATAAATCTTTGACTTGTACAGCTGCAGCGGCAGGGCCGAGCTCCAGATGGAGGGATGCTGCTCACACTCCTGTTCACACTCCGTTACACCCTGACACTACACTGGCACAGTGCTGGCCCAGGGCTGAGAGGAGGAGAGGAGAGGAGCCAATATGAGTGCAAGACAGAAGTTATGAAGAGAGTAGAGGAGAGAGTAGGGTAGCGGAGCGGGGAAGAGAGGATGGGAGAGGACAGAAGAGTAGAGGACACTTTTTCATGCTTTTCTGCCTGTCTCCCTCGCTGCTCGTCTCTCCATCTGACTGTCTGCCTATACCCCTCCCTGTCTGTCTCCAGCTTTTAATAAAGAGAGAACACAGCAGTGCCGCCCATTAGGATGATTCAAGTGTGCCAGTGCCTACTCTGCACATTCACTAATTAACAGGTCTACTGGGACCCTGCAGGAGAGCTGGATACATACATATAATAAAAAGAAAGCCTGACTGGCGCACTCACGCACACGCACGCACACAGTAATCCATACTGTAATAGTAACTCAAGTAACCTTGGGATTAACTTTAATTAAACAAATAACTATTTTACCCTACCATCTGTAACCATGTATGAACTGTACGTCTCTTCACACGTGCAATGTAGGGGGGAAACCTATATACACACAACTCTCACTAGCCATGTCACCTTTGTGTCATCTATATGTTAGCTATATAACCCCTCTCTGTACCTGAGTGTCCCAGCGAGCTCCCTCCATGTACAGTCCGTGTACGTAGGCCCCCTCCCTGGGAGGAGTGCTGAAGTCCTCTCTGTTCTTCTTGGTGACGTCACACTGCAGACACATCCTGTCCAGAGGCCACTCATTCCTGACAGGAGGGATCATGGGAACATCATGGAATGTTGTATCACAATCACTTGGTGATAAGTAGTATCGTGATAACAGCTTTTATCGCAATAATTGACAGTGGGAATTCTAGGTACAAGGTGAATTCTATTTTCACAGAAAACACATTTTTGAAATGAGAAAAACGGTTATTTTCACATTATTTTAAAGCAAATTAACAACAATTTTGTTTCCATTATCTGATAATATTTGTGATCGTGCCGAGCCTGCGTTAGCACAAGTATCATTGAACCCACTTATTCAGGCCATATTTCTGTATTATCGATTATCATGCCAACCTACCTGCGAGCCATAGCCTGCATGATGGCTGTGAGAAAGGACTGAGGGTTGAAGAAGCCGGCCAGCCAAACGGCTGAGGGCAGGATGAAGTCAGCGCTCCAGGCCTCCAGCTCCTTGATCCTCCCCAGCAGGTCAGTGAACCACAGGGCCAGGCCACACATAGACGGGTAGGCCCGTCTGGTCCACGACTCTGGGACCAGGTCCAGGAAGATGGCCGTCTGGAGACTCTCCATGTCACTGGTCATAGTCAGCTCTCCCTGAGAGGGAGGAACCAATGAGAAAAAGGGATGGGAATGAGATTCAGAAAACGTTTATTGGCAGTCAATTATAGCACAGTTTGAATACGTTTGTGTTAAAATGTTTTATTAGTAAGGCACATTTTTTATTCAAATAACTTTTTAATTAATAATGTCATTTTTCCTGTGGATTTCTGCAAGAACACTGAGGAGAAATCTCACAGTTATTGGAGATGTCTTATTCACACTAAAACTGAATTCCTATGTGTCATTGAGCAATACCACCCTGTAACCACTAGCAACATCACCCCGTAGCTGCTGAAGCATACATAAACAAAAGCAGAGTCACTCACTTTCTTCACTTTCTATCCAAAGAGAAAACAGAATAATTATATGGAAGGAGGCTAACAAGTTAAATGGCTATGCCAAACAGTGTGTCCTTCACCGAATGATAACGTAGCTAGCTGATGAATGTATTTATGTCTCGCCGTCATAACCATCTTTTACTGAGGTGATAAAATGTTCACAGATGCATCTCATCTACTGCAGAGCGTTAACCCTGAACCAGTCACCCTTTTAACTCTCCCCCAAATCACTCAGATCCCTCAACAAGTCAAGACACCCCCTCCCACCCCCAAATGCTTCCCGCCAAGGTTGAGATTCTGATAGTTCCAATTTATTTCCACAGTAAAGTCGAAATATGAGTACATTTGACTGGTACAATAGAGTACATGGCTTTTAACTCACTGATGCGATTTACCAGAGGCAATGTGTAGAGCGATCGAAGCTCATAACTCCTTAGAAAAGGCACTCACACACATGCACATAGCCACCTGCCTTAACCCTAAACCAGCCGTTGCTAAGACAACACTGAGCTAATATACAGATGGGATTCCAGAACAAGCCATGTGTGAAATGTCATTTTACTTTTATGTATAAAAAATCAAAAAAACATTCTCTCCAGTGTTTAAGGTCATTGTTTCTTTAATCCTCACTATGACTCACACTTAAGACGGAACGCATGCATGCGCAACCACACACACACACACACACACACACACACACACACACACACACAGTCTTGTACAGCTAAGCTTGTGGGGACACACAATTCAGTCCAATTCAACCCTAAACCTAACCTGTACTCTTACCCTAACCCTAACCCAAAAACCTAACCTTAACCCTAGCTCCTAACCCTAACGTAATTCTAACCCTTACACTAATTCTAACCTTAACCCTAAACCCCCTATAAATATAATTTGGCCTTGTGGGGACTAGGGGCCAGAGGGCTGACTCACCACTACTTCAGAGGAATACTGGTGACACAAAGTTATGCAGGAATACTAACAGAGCAGACCAGAATGCTACAGCTACTGGATACAGGCTCAACATTGACATTTTAGTCATTTAGCAGACGCTCTTATCCAGAGCGACTTACAGTTAGTGCATACATTATTTTATTTTTCATACTGGCCACCCATGGGAATCGAACCCACAACCCTGGCATTGCAAACGCCATGCTCTACCAACTGAGCTACATCCCTGCTGGCCATTCCCTCCCCTACCCTGGACGACACTGGGCCAATTGTGCACCGCCCCATGGGTCTCCCGGTCGCGGCCGGGGGGGGGGGGGGGGGGGGACACGAACCAGGATCTCTAGTGGCAGTGCTGACCACTGCGCCACTCGGGAGACTCAACCAACAGAGCGTGACTCATTACCCCAATGATAAAAAATAATTGTTCAACCTTGAAAGGGGAAGTAGACGCCATTGTTTATTTTCCTTGGAAGTAGTCTATGGGTTGCCAGTGCCCTGCCACCCACCACCCGTGGACACTGGAATTGTTTACTCCAAAACAAGTAATTATCTGAACTACAAAGCAAAGTTAACTCAAAGTCACTGTGGGGGAGAAGAAGTAGACAAATAAGACTGGTTGTGATTGGCTGACCTTGATAGAATGATTGATTGATTGATTGACTCACCTTGAGTCCGAGGTTGAGTTCGCGTAAGGATCGCCTTATCTCCTGGGTGAGTGTGTTCATCCTCTCACACTCCTGCAGCGCCACCACCTGGTAGGGTGTCCTCTCCTCAGCTTTCCCCAGCAGCTCTACCATGTTAAACTCCTCTGGTAACTTCTCCATGATCTCCTCCAACACAGACCGCACCTGGGGTAAGGGTATGTGTGTGTTTGTGTGTGTGCGTGTGTGGTGTGTGTGAAGGGACAGGGATAAAAGAGGGGGTAAATATTAGGCTTGAATTTGGGGATGCAGTAATATGAAGATGGTATGAATGACAGAACAATAGATTGTGTTCATTGTCAAGAATTTCTCAGTGATTGTGTCACATTTTGTTACTGAAAAGTAGGGAATCAAAAAAAGATTACATCATCGAGTAAACATGAGAAGAATTCCAAGCACTAATGACTCCTTGAGAAGAAAATGATGAAAGAAAAAAAATCATAAATATTCATGAGCATTACTTGCAGCAACAGCAGCCGTTTGTCTTTAATAACAGTCATATTCCCGAGGAATCAATCCTCGTCTCATATTTCCATTGGGTAAGTGATGAAAGCTTATGTCTACGTCCACATTTTCCAGCAATAGAGATCAATCAACGGATTAAACATTGAACAAAGGATTGGAGGTCATTATAACTATGGATTCTCCGCTGAAATATCGAATCGGTCTTCTTCAGCTCCGTGGCAGCCTGCATACCAAACAGGAAGCATTCAAACGGGCATCGTCCGCTAGCGTTGGGGCGATGGTTGTCATCTGTTAAGACACAACTATCTCTGTTTCTCAGTTGTAAAGGTCAGCCGTCATAATACACCCAGGCCCACACACGCACACACATGTATGTGCACACACACACTTCTATATCATTAAAAGTCAGACAGCCCTAAAGCATCAGATAGTGTAGAGATACAAGGGGCCTCCTTTTCTCTCACTCACAACACAAGGAGAAGTGATAACACTGCTCTACATCTATCTAACGCCCATTAAACAGGAAGCTAGCTTGTATATTAGAAAGGTGAGGTCATTAATGTATTGGTGAGGTCATAATGTATTGGAATGTATAACACTTTTCTGAGTGCTTTGTTTCAGACATTGGACTAGTTTTTTTGAGGTAACACATGAAAGTGTATTTAAGGTAAGGCATATGGGGATTGGGGATTGGGAACCAGGGAATAAGGTTGTCCAGACATAGGGAAAGTGTAGTTAAGGTAACCCATATAGGTAGTCAGGGGGTAGAGGTGATGTGTGGTGTATTATGTCTCTCCTGTCAGTGCCAGATGGATGTTACAAAGCTATGACCTGATGGAGCCTCGGACCAGAGACCACCTTGTCCTTACCTTACATTCAGTTTGACACTTATATGAATCAGTCCACAGAACTTAAAATCTCAGAGGCAGCAATCGCTCTAACACTGGCCCAACTTTCTCTACACTCTATGGGCCTGTTTCTGGACCACAGAAGAAGCCTGGACTACAAAACCATGCTCAGTGGAGAATCTCAATGGGTGTAGGCTGTTAACCTGTGTCCAGGAAACTGGTTTTACATATGTGACTGTCGCATTGCTCCTCCTCAATACAGTTAGTCCATCCCTACCTTCTCATCTCTAGTGGTCCCACTGCCCTCCCCGGCCCCTCCGTCTCTGGGCTGCATCTCCAGCACGGTCCGGAACAATTTCTCAGACGTCTGCGTCAGGAAGCCTATCTCAGCATTGGGGTGGAGGCCGTACAGGTAGGGAGACTCTGCAGGAAGCGTGTCATCTATGTACTGGAGGAGGAGGGAATTACACGTTAGAACACCAAATTAGTGGGAGTGTGCATTTCAATATTGTACAGTGGCTTCCCATCCTTCATCTGCACTGATCTGAAAAAAAAAAGGTGAAGAGAATATGGTGGATGCCAGATACAGTATATACTTTGCCAAGCTCTATTAAAGCAAATGAAAGAATGATACATTTTATAGTCCTAGAAAATCTGGTCGTCGTGGTGGTGTTAAAGGGCTACTTATTTCTCCTAAGTAGAGATTTTCTAATTTTTCTCCATTCACACATATCAATATCCTCATTTGAATTCCATGCTGTCACTGTCACTTGTCCACTCAAGCTTAACATTATTGTCATCTATGGCCCACAAGGTGCCCTTAGAGAGTTCCTTAATATGATCGATGCCGTGATAAGTTCATTTCATGACGATGGCTCACCACTAATCGTACTCTGAGATTTCAACCTCCTAACGCCTTCCTTCGATTAATTTCTTTCCACCTCTTTCTTTCCACTATTTTCCTGTTTTTACCCCCCCCCCCCCCCCCCCCCCCCTTCTGCCCTCCTCTCCTGTACAGTATTTGGGTAGTACAGATGGATGAGGGAGTGGACATGCCCCAACAGACCCCCAGGGACCACCAGGCCTTTCCAGTTGCAGGCGCTCCCCTGTGCTCCAGCCAAGTCTCAGCCACTCAGCTCCCTCTCTCTCTGCTTGCTGGCCAAGTGTAAAACGCTCCAGACCTCCATGCCAGGTGTCTCTGTCAGCCTAGCACAACACCCAGGCTGGGGATAATTAAATACAACCTCTCCCTGGGGAGCTGGTGAGAGGAATGTGGACAGGCTGTGAGGGCCGGCGGACATTTTGGCAAGAGAGTGTTACTGATATAAATCTTGGCAGTTTTTTTTTTTAAGAGGGCTGTGGTGAAGCAAAGTTCCTGCTGTCACAACAGAGAGGCAAGCAGAACAGATTCCAGAGTTGGAGAGAAATATCAGCACACTAAACTTTGGGAAAACAAGTAGATTTGAATTGACACAACACACTTAGATCTTAGACTGTCAAGGTTGCTATCTAATAAATGATGGATGATATTTTTTACTTTAGCAATTGACACAACAACCAAGTATAAAATATAGTAATAGATAAGTTGCAGATAAGTTACCAACATTTTCTTCACATTCTCAAGGTTGCTATTTAATAATTGACATTACTTACTTTTGCGTCTGCCATGTCTGTAAGCTAGCAAGCTCCGCTAGCCAAGTGTTGGCCATGGGCTCAGCTAGCTAGCTATCATAACACTACCCATTAGAATATCCCTGAGCTGTGGGACCGCCTCCTCACTGATGGAAAACACGTCACTTGTGCGCACTACAAAATCTGGAGGGAAAATCCGACTCGACCGAGAAAATGAAAACCAATTAATACAGCGGTTCTCAGGCAGGCTAGACACGCAATATTGTTACTGTTGCGTCACATTGGATGACCACTACCAACTTATTGGAGCTTTTGAACATTGAAAAAATACAACAAGTGACATATTGCAGCTTTAAGCCATGTGAGGTAGTACAAGATCATTAGGTAACATGATGGTAGTTGTTGTCCTTTACTGACCTAGTAGCTATTGTAGTCCATGTTCCCAGGCAGGGGGAAGCCGGGGGCCAGGTAGAGCTCTGTTTCTAACCTGATGGTAGGTGTGGTTCTTTACTGACCTGGTGGTAGGTGTTATAGTCCATATTCCCAGGCAGGGGAAAGCCGGGAGCCAGGTACAGCTCTCCCTCCATCATCTCAGGTTTGATGAACTCCTCCAGGTAGGTCCTACAGAGTCGTCTGTCCCAGTCATCAGTGATGTGACCTCCATACATGATCTCTCCAAACAGGTAGCGCAGGTCATCATATGGCACCTGGGACGCAGAGCGAAAGTTAGAATGCACCTTAGAATCTTAAGAAGGCTTTTCACACTACTGGACCGAATCGAGCTGAGCCAAACCAAGTTCTACTAAGTTGGCCTGGTTTACGCAGCCACCATAGTTGCCAAAGAAAATATCCAAGCCAACACAATTTGGTTAGGGTCGGCACAGTAGTGTGAAAAGTGTATTTTTGTCATGGAACATGGTTGGCTTTATTACTACTGTGGCATATTTTTATTTTACCTTTATTTAACTAGGCAAGTCAGTTAAGAACCAATTCTTATTTACAATGACGGCCTACACCGGCCAAACCCCGCTGGGCCAATTGTGCGCCGCCCTATGGGACTCCCAATTACGGCCGGTTGTGATACAGTCTGGAATCGAACCAGGGACCCTGTAGTGACCCCTCAAGCACTGAGATGCAGTGCCTTAGACCACTGCGCCACTCGGGAGCCCAATATAAGACGCAGCATGTGTGTGGACTGGTTACCTTAGAGTTAGCCTCCAGGTAGTTGTAGAGCACATTGATGGAGATGGTGAGGTCTCCTGTGTTGAAGGGGTAAGATCTGTTCCAGCCCTGAGGTCCAAACTTCCTCCTTTCAGCCACCACCGCGTGGAAGTAGCACAGCGCAAACAGGATGCTCTTAAACTCATTCTCCCTGGCACACATCTCCAATGTATCCTAGAAGAAAACAAAGGCCCAGAAAACTAAACAAACAACAAAACTATTCCTGTTGAATGTCAACCAAGTTCACAGTTTCACTGTCTTCCTCAAAAAAGTACAGTAGCATTTTTGAAGATTTTCAAAAACAAAAGCGTTGTGTTGAAAGTAAGAAGCTGTGGCTGATTCTCTGTGATGTGTGTCTGTGCAAAAGTCCCCAGCGACGTGCGGCTCCGCGGTACAGAAAGAAGACAATAAATGGCAATAAACGGCAGGATGAGATTCTCTTTTAATTGTCACTACTTGTCAGGCGATATTGTCCCGTTGGCTCATTATACCCAGATAAGGGGAATGTAAAATGGCACGGAGGCCTTAGGGACGATAAAATAAGTATGTCAATAACCTCTATGGAAACAGTGGGTCTAAATTCTCTTTTATATTCCTGCGTGTGTCAGGTTGAGTACTGCAGTGAAGGCCCTTTCGCTTTCCCTGTTGATCCCAAGGGAGCTGACTCCTAGAACGTATGCACACGCGCCCGCACACACACACACAAACGAGCACACACACATGCCACAAACACACACACTTAAAGTGAGTTAATATTCTGCACACAGTGCCTCTCTGGCTGCTCACAGCTGAGAGTGAAGCATAGCCTCCCTAATCATACACTGTTAGAGGACACACACACTTGATTAAATACTCTACCACTAAAGAAGAAGCATGCACCAAGACCTGATAATACATCTATAATGACATGTCGTCCAGCCCTCTGATAACTGTGTAACTGCATTAAAAAAATCCTAACCTTATCATTCCAGAGGCATGTTTCTTTAACGTCTCCTCTGCTGGCCGTCACACACACAGCCAGGGGATGAGAATGGACACTAAAGCTATTTGTATCTGCTGGTTGAAAAGGTCAGGAAGGAGGAAAGGCACTGTCATCTCTCTGGCTTACTGCGGGTTACTAAGGGTTCTGGCTGTATAGAGACAAACCATTGATTAGCTTTCACCCTGTACAGTACACAGGGTAGGTCTGGAATATTGTCCCTCCCTGTTCTCTACAGTACCTGAGGGGACCTCCTTGAGAGCGCGCGTGTATGTGTGTGTGTGGGTGTATGCATGCATGCATGCATGCATATGTGTGTGTGCTAGCTAGCTATCGCACAAACATGCACTTATCAGAGAGATAAGCATCAGCACTTTAAAATGGCATGTTGGATGGAAGCTTAGCATTGCATTATAGGTATGGAGGCAGAACCCCAGGAGGTTATGGTAGGTTACAGATGGAGATCCTTTGATAACTTGTTGATAAGAAGCTAAATTGATGGCTAATAGCTGTTTTACTGTAGATAGAAGTGCACTGATAAGGTAGAGGTGGAATTCTAACTAGCACAAATGCATGCACGCAAGCACATAAAGGCACACACACACTCATAATTATGTCATACTGTATTCCGATCACAGAAAGATGGCTTGTCGATAAACATCCTAACATCCCATCCAAATCTGCCTCTTCCCAATTGAGAGCCATGTTTCTGTTATAGTGGACAACTGTGTCCTCCACAGGATAGAGTCTACTCTAAGATCACTGATAGAGGTAGCACTCTCCATTTGTTAGCTGCTTGCTACTACACACCAAATAGGCAACTTGATGACAACACCACAGAGAAACTGGCACGCAAACATGCGATGTCTGGACTGCTTCTTACGGGCAAATGAAAATCAAGAGAGGGAGAGAGAGACAGAGAATACATACATTGTATGCCTATTTGTGTGTTACCTGGTTGAAGTTGTCCAGGGCCTTGTGCAGGTTGGCGTTTATGCCAGTGGGTGGTTCATTGGTGATCTTGATGGAGTTCTCCAGGATGCCCTGTGGTATGATGTGGCCCTCTGGGGTCCCTGAAGGCTCAGCGCTGATGAAGACTCTGAAGTCCTGGTGACTGTTCTCTCCATGCTGTTCTAGACGCTTCTCTAGAGAACCCAACCACCTCGCCACCAGGTGAATGTTCTATACAGGGACAGAAGGAGAGATGGTGCTATAATGACGATGATGATGAAGACTCTGAAGTCCTGGTGACTGTTCTCTCCATGCTGCTCCAGATGCTTCTCTAGAGAACCCAACCACCTCACCACCAGCTGAATGTTCTATAGGGACAGACATTACAGTAATATGGATAAATACAAGCAGCATGCCTCAAGCAAGGTCACATTTACCTACACAACACGTTTTGACGCAGGTATTTTTAGCTTTTTCTATTCCCCTCAGAATGTACATTTCCACCCTGTATAGGGAACATTGCGATAGCACTACATAAACTTGTTTGAGCTAAATTGTCCATTCCATGTGTCCTAACTCCTAACCCTGAGAGAGAGAGGTCTTCGTGGTGATGAGGAGTTAGCCAAACCCCTCACATCACATCACCGCCCAGAGCGCTGCGCGCCCGCGTGTTACCCAAATCTAATTACACCACTAATAACTGCAGTCATTAATTCATAAGCCGCTTTGCCTTCTCCTCATCTCCTACAGCACTCTAAATTTAATCATCCCTCGGATTGTTCAAGTTAACCCTCTTTCCAAATGACAGCAGATCCTCTGGAGCAACATCACCGCAAATTTTAGATGACAAAATGAAAAAAGAAAAGAGAAAGAGAAAGATAAGAACTTCCCTTGTATGTTTAGTGAGAAGAATACATAGCCCGAAGCTGGGGGGGGTAACATTGCGATAGATTCAAGTTAGGAGCCTATAAACCTACAGCATATTGAACGAGACACAAATTAAAACTCTAAATTGAAGTGCTTTTTCATTGCCTTGAAGAACAAGCTCTCCTGTTGCCTTCTAACTAACCAATGTGTAATAAACAGCCTAGACAGACAGACTGAGACCTCCCTTAGAGCTCCCTTAGAGCTCCCTTATACCTCCCTTAGAGCCTGTCACCTTAATGAAACTGCCCAGGCTCAGAGAGAGAGAGAGAGCAAGAGAGAGAGAAAGAGGACAAATATTTTGTTTGTTCTCTGTTAAGCACCTCTATCCTCCAGTTCTTATAATTATGTTGTCACCATCAACAGCTAATTTTTGTTTTCGCTATGACATGATGTCAATAGTTAACATGGCCTGTGGCAACACAACACGGCCCATCCGGCTGTCTCTCCATGTCTTCCTCTGCTCACACACTCAGTCATCAAGGCCCTCTGCCCTAAGGGCGTCTCCACAGCTGGCCTTGGACTATGTCTTTATAACAATGTCACTGCAGCAGAGACTTAGGCAGAATGACAGAATAGACATTAAGGATAACCAAACAGACTGTAGAGTTTGAGAAAATAGCTATTCTACAGAAGAAACATCCACACTATATTCAGCACCGGAATAGTTTTGTAGATAACATAATAATAATAATAATAATAATAATAATAATAATAATAATAATAATAAATACTCAACTTATATAGTGCTTTTCAAAGAATCTCAAAGCAATGCAAGTAATTTAGAAAAACAACATCACAACATCATGAGATGGACAGTCATTAGAAAGTTAATGGCTTGAGTGGTCATCTGAGGGAGGTGCTCAAGCGGGGAGAGAAAGTCTGTAGGCAGGCAGGAAGCGCGGTCTCAAGGTGTCTCGCTGTCTCTGGCTTTTCCGTAGTAGAACTCAGTCAGATGAAGATGGAGCTAAGCCACTGCAGTCCATGGACTCCGTAGTAGGTAGCTAGCTAGCTAGTCCTTCACTACTACCAAAATAAAGCACCCACTTGGATGATGCTACGGCAGTCATGTGGCGCCAGAAAGCACACCATATTTCAATAATAATTAAAGAGCAGCATTTTAACTTTGTCCTCCCTACGATCCTCATCGCTGTACACCTCTTGCTTTCGGCTTCTCTCCATCCTCAACCTCAGGACACTGGCTGGCATTCGAATCAAAACAGCTAGCCAGATAACGTTAGCTATCTTGCCAAACAAACAAATTACTTGCCAGCTTCAGTATTAACGTTGTAGTGGATTCTGATTATATTAATTAGCTATATTAATTGTTACTTCTTAAAACAAAAACATTTTTTACCTACAAAAATATTTACATAATGTACAGGAGCTCTCTGCTTAGGCTGCTGCTAGGGCACCAAAGCAAAAATGTGAATCAATTATGTGAATAATGAAAGACTAATAAGAAGTATGGCTGAATGAAATTAGGATTTAAAATGTCATGTAGCCTATGGCAAAAGGATCCTTACAGTGATGACTGATTAATTCAACTCTCGTCACATCAGAAGAAAAAGTGGTCTACATTAAACTTTAAAACACTACCCAAATACCCAAGCTATCATGCTCTTTACAGAGTGAAGTTAAAAGTGACATTAAAAAGAGGGAGAGAAAGTAACTTTTTCTCTAAACAGTCTCACCCTATTTCTTTTCCATCTATTTTGCTAGGCTGTGAGCGTCCCTGTGCCTTTAGGAGTAAGTGCCTCAAGGACCCAGGTATTTTAGGTCCACTCAATAGAATCCCACTGATGGGGATATGGGCTCTTCAGCTCAAATATATTCCTAGGTCTGGGGGATATAGCCTATTCAGCTCCAATCTGCCAGATTGATTGCCTTTTCTTTTCTCTTCTCTCCCTCTCTCTCTAGGTGGGTTTCTGCATCTCTCCGAGTGTCTTTGGCTGGTCCTGGTTGGGCTGTGAGGAGTGGGGATAGGACAGGGCCAAGTGTGCCGTGGTATAGGGATAATGCTCCCGTCAGAAACAGAGGAGAGAGAGGAGAACAGGGGCAAGTGTAATTTACCTGCAGTGAAGGAGAACCTGCCATTGACCCAGCTTTTCAGCCTGCTACTGATCTGATGCTGGGATGGAGGGACCAGTGGAAGATGAGAGGGAGGTAAGAGGTGTGTGTGTGTTTGTTGTGGGATCAAGGCCTGGATACGAGAGTGGGATGGGATGACTGTGGCAGGGGACTGAGGTTGGAAAGAGGAGAGGAATGTGAGGCAGAAGGGGAGACATTTTGGAAAATGTGAGGCAGGGTGTGAAAAGAGGGGGAGACGGTGGCAGAGGACGAGAAGCGGGATGGAAATAGAAAGGAGACAGACCTCCCTCCATGAGGGTGGACCAGACAGACAGACAGACCTCCCTCCATTCTTTCTCCTCCTTCCATGAGGGTGGACCAGACAGACAGACAGACAGACCTCCCTCCATTCTTTCTCCTCCTTTCATGAGGGTGGACCAGACAGACAGACAGAGGATGATAGTGAGTGGGCGGTGATGTTGGTTGCCACGGGGACAAGGCTTTTTTAAGTTGTATCGATCAGGAGTCTTATGCAAAAGTAACTCAATCACTGCTTGTCTCTGTGATGATGTCTGTTTGTGGCTGAGAGCGAGAGCTAGAAGGAGAGATGGATAGAAAAAGAGATGCTGCTTGTGATGACTGGGAGAGAGAGAGAGAGAGAGAGAAAGGGATAGCAAAGACATTCTCTGCTTTACCAGCGCTGTGAATAAAGGAGACCCCCCCCCCCCCCCCCACACACACACTCTCTCTCTCCCCCCAAGAGTTGCCTCTGTGCCGGTGTTCATATCTGTCAATACTCCACATTAGGATTCAACAAACGAGCTGGCTTAAAATGCAAACGCTGACTGGCCTTGCCCTCCAGATAAGAGAACACACACTGAGGAACCAGATACTGTACTGAATAATACTGGGCCTCTCTCTATCCAGGGAATTATATTATTTCATATGCAGTTAAACCACAAAGGAGAGCAAACAGCCAACACTATGTGCAAAGCACAATGGATTGGAGAAACAATTTGACCTTAAACATGGGAGAGAATACGTTTTTTTTTAAATACACAAAAGTAAAATGACATTTCACGACATGGCCTGTTCTGGAATCCCATCTGTATATTAGCTCAGTGTTGTCTTAGCAACGGCTGGTTTAGGCAGTCGGCTATGTGCGTGCATGCGTGCGTGCGCCTGTGCATGTGTATGTGTGCGTCTGAGTGTGTGTCTGCATGTAAACGTGTGTGTCTGAGTACCTGCAGTATAACCCAGTGTCCCTCCTTAGCTGCCAGGTCCAGAGCCTGTTCAGCCACCACCTCCTGTCCCTGGCCCAGAGATACATTGTGGAAGTTACCGCTGTCAAACGTATAGCCCAGCTTCCTGCCTGAAAGAAAGATCACACAGTAATGATTAATATAATCCATAACAATTTAGGCAAAATTGAAATGATCAACAGTTTAATAATACAGTAGTAATCCCTTTTTTATAAAGTGTGCTTCATTTATACACTGAGTGTACAAAACATTAGGAACACCTGCTCTTTCCATGACAAAGACTGATAAGGTGAATCCAGGTGAAAGCTTTGATCCCTTATTGATGTCACTTGTTAAATCCACTTCAATCAGTGTAGACGAAGGGGAGGAGACAGGATAAAGAATAATTTTTAAACCTTGAGAAAATTGAGACATGGATTGTGTGTGTGCCATTCAGAGGGTGAATGGGCAAGACAAAATATTGAAGTGCCTTTGAACGGGGTATGGTAGTAGGTGCCAGGTGCACCGGTTTGAGTGTGTCAAGAACAGCAACGCAGCTGGGTTTTTCACGCTCAACAGTTTCCCATGTGTATCAAGAATGGTCCACCACCCAAAGTACATCCAGCCAACTTGACAACTGTGGGAAGCATTTGAGTCAACATGGGCCAGCATCCATGTGGAACGCTTTTGACACCTTGTAGAGTCCATGCTCCGACAAATTGAGTCTGTTCTGAGGGCAAAAGGGGGTGCAATTTAATATTAGGAAGGTGTTCTTAATGTTTTGTACATTCACTATAGGCTAAGAAAAAGTGGCCATCTGAAATGTAGCGAAGACCCCCACTATTTTCCTAAAGTAAAGTGTATAGATTCAGGGTTCTTCATTCTGTGTGATCTGTGTTGCCATTGGCCCTCTCTCCACACTCTACACCAGGCCTCTCTGATTGGTTAGCTGCTTTAGCTTTGATGTGATTGGTCACGCATACAGGGGGGGCTTGGATAATTAGTCATACACATGCATGCAAATGCGTGCACACACACACACACACGTGCGCACACACGCACACACAGAAGGGTGTGGACATCGACTATACACACCACTCTGTGTGTGCACATGCATTTGAACGAGTGTCTGACCAATTATCTAAGCTCCCCCTATTTGCAGGAAGCTTCAGTGGGAGAATTATCTCATATCACATGATGAGAGGATAGCTGATTTCACGCCAGACCATAAAAAAGACGGAGACTATTCAATCAAACATCAAACCAGGTTACTGTGTTTCCAGGGTACGGAGGAAAACATTTACAAAACAAAACATGTTATCTAGAATCCAGCCACAGCAGCCCAATAATTTTGTTCACACTTAGTTCAATAAAACCCTTTCAGTCGCATTTGCGTCGCATTTGAATCTTTCATAAGACCAAATAGTGAAGTATTGGAATGTTCGTCATCAAACACTCCTGAAGAGTCAACCTGTGATATCTCCCATACCAGGTCAGTACAAATCAAAGCTTCACATTTCAACATCTTTTCTGGTGTGATCCAATATTGTTAGTCTCGAAAACCCGACCCTAGACGTCCTGGTGTGATAACAAATTAACTTTTTACCCAAAACTCTACTGCAGGTAGATTTTTGGGAATTGTTTTTAATATCTGTGTTTATGCATGAACATTGAGTGATTAATTTATTAATCTTATGCTACAAAAGATAAATAACATACATTTTTCTAAACTAATCCAATCATTTAGTTAGATTTTTCGCACCCGTTACTGAAATGGTTGTTCCACTTTAAATGCCTTACGTAGTCTCCTAACCCTGGCAGTCATTATGAATAAAAAATCCAACTGTTGGCTATCTTAACTCTTGCTGGATTCCAATAGGAATTACACATCACTTTGCAAGCCAGCATTATGTGACTTGCAGATAGGGTTGCAAAATTCTGGTAAATTTCCCAGGTTTTCCAGAAATCCCGGTTGGAAGATTCCTGGAAATCGTCCAACTAGGATATTTTTTAATAAAATCTGAGAATTTGGGGAGGACTGAGAACTGAGAACGAGAGAGAGATAGAGAAAGAGAGAGAAGTGTATCTCGCTGATTTGGCTGTGAGGGGGCCCTGAGCTCAGGGGTACGTGCTTAGTCCCCTCTGTACTCCCTGTTCGCCCATGACTGCGTGACCAAGCATGACTCCAACACCATCATTAAGTTTGCCGACGACACAACGGTGGTAGGCCTAATCACAGACAACGATGAGACAGCCTATAGGGAGGAGGTCAGAGACCTGGCAGTGTGGTGCCAGGACAACAACCTCTCCCTCAACGTCATCAAGACAAAGGAGATTATCGTGGACTACAGGAAAAGGAGGGCCGAGCACGCCCCCATTCTCATCGATGGGGCTGTGGTGGAGCAGGTCGAGAGCTTCAAGTACCTTTGTGTCCACATCACCAACACACTATCATGGTCCAAACACACCAAGACAGTCATGAAGAGGGCACGACAACGCCTATTCCCCCTCAGGAGACTGAAAAGATTTGGCATAGGTCCTCAGATCCTCAAAAAGTTAAACAGCTGCACCATCGAGAGCATCCTGACTGGTTGTATCACCACCTGATATGGCAACTGCTCGGCCTCCGACCGCAAGGCGCTACAGAGGGTAGTGGGTACGGCCCAGTACACCACTGGACCTAAGCTTCCTGACATCCAGGACCTCTATACCAGGCGGTGTCAGAGGAAGGCCCTAAAAATTGCCAAAAACTCCAGCCACCCTAGCCATAGACTGTTCTCTCTGCTACCGCACGGCAAGCGGTACCGGAGCGCCAAGTCTAGGTCCAAAAGGCTTCTTAACAGCTTCTAACCCCAAGCCATAAGACTGCTGAACAGCTAATCAAATGGCTACCTGGACTATTTGCATTGAGACCCCCCCCCCCCCACTGTTTATTATCTATGCATAGTCACTTTACCCCTCCCTACATTACCTCAATTACATCGACCTACCTGTACCCCCACACATTGACTCAGTACCAGTACCCCCTGTATATAGCCTCGTTATTGTTATTTTATTGTTGCTCTTTTATTTTTTACTTTAGTTTATTTAGTAAATATTTTTCTTAAAACTGCATCATTGTAAGTAAGCATTTCACAGTTTTTATTTTTTATTTTACCTTTATTTAACTAGGCAAGTCAGTTAAGAACAAATTCTTATTTACAATAACGGCCTACACCGGCCAAACCTGGACGACGCTGGGCCAATTGTGCGCCGCCCTATGGGACTCCCAATCACGGCCGGTTGTGATACAGCCTGGAATCGAACCAGGGGGTCTGAAGTGACACCTCAAGCACTGAGATGCAGTGCCTTAGATCACTGCGCCACTCGGTAAGGTTGTACCTGTTGTATTTGGTGCATGTGACTAATACAATTTGATTTGATTTGAATGAACTATTGTATTTGCGTGAGTTGAGTACGTAAATTCATTTATATGGACCTGTGACTCTCACCTCAATAACTGTATTGTATCCCATTATACCCTGCCTTTATATTGTTTTTTGTTAACTACCTAATTTTCCAACTTATTTAGTGTAAATAAAACCTTGAATGAATGATTTGTGGCATTAAGTTAATTTGCAAGTGATCGTGTTCTTGAGGTTCCAGAGCTCGATGACTGCTCAGAATGAGAATATAGTCAAATTTACTGTGATTATTAGGGGTGTAACGATCCATCTACTACATCGATGTATCGATTTATATTCCTATGATCCAACTACATCGATCTGTGCTCGGCGAGTTGGCCTTTTGGACAACATATATCAATCTAACATAGTTTTAAAATGTAATAAATCGATTGTATCGATACTAGGAAATAACCCATTGGATTTAAGCACGTCAGACTTTATATGGATGTTTTTTCTTAGCACTTTTAATGATAAAGGCTTTAAACATTACTCGATTCAGTCTGCCTATCCGTGACGTCATCGCCCCGCGCCAGCAGCAGCGCAAAGGCGCAAAGACAACAAAACATAGCATGGCGGACGACAGAGGAGAAGCCGACGAGCGAGAAATTATCAAGCCACCATTGCGGTCCTTACATGAAACAGGAATCTAGGAAACTTCACCTGCACTGTCCAGTATCCAGGTATTTATTTCAGTCACACTGGTTGAATTTTTGGCTAAAAGGTTACTGAATCGATTTCAAGTCACTGAATCGTTTCGGATCGTATCGTTCTAAATGAACCAATATCGTCCTTGAATCGTATCGACAACCACGAATAGTGATACAAATCGAATCGTTGTTAAAACGAATCGTTACACCCCTAGTGATTATATTGTTGATAGTATTAACACTATAACGGTTAATGATAACTACTGATATAGTTCATTCAAGGGTCTCTCTACATCTAACCTTTAATAGTTCCCCTCAGATGAATTTGGATAGGATAACCAAATCAGATCAATTAATTATTCCAGTAATTAATCAGTAAATTATCTTGAATATTAATTAGCCCAAAGTCACAACAGAGTAATGACTACGAAAACATTTTAAATAACTGTACTCAGATATATTAAGTGCAACGAGTTTCCTCAAAAGTTTTGAGTAATGACAGCACATTGGTGTTTACAGTGTAGGTGACACCATTACCATGTTTCTCCACATCCTTCAGTGGGTCTACACCAGGAGAGAGGATGAAGAACATGGGCGTGGCGGGACCAGACTCCTCAAAGGACACAGCAAAGTCCAGCGACCTGCCAACCACATACTGACTCCCCAGCTTCTCCTCCACAAAGTCTCTGTGGGGAGACATGATGATATATGTTCAATACATACATGTAACTGCCCAAATAAAGGAAACACTTGAGTAAATGTTTCCTTTATTTTGGTAGTTACCTGTACATAATACACCTTCTTACTACAGAGCACTGCTCATGGCTTATGGTGGTTAGTTTAAAAAGCTGAAAATACACTCATACAGACATAAGATGTATTACTTTTCTATGATATAACTATTAGATACTGTAGCTGTGGTCAATGGCCACTGGGTTAAAATGTTAGCTGTTTACATTATATTACAGTGAGGGAAAAAAGTATTTGATCCCCTGCTGATTTTGTACGTTTGCCCACTGACAAAGACATGATCAGTCTATAATTTTAATGGTAGGTTTATTTGAACAGTGAGAGACAGAATAACAACCAAAAAATCCAGAAAAATGCATGTCAAAAATGTTATAAATTGATTTGCATTTTAATGAAGGAAATAAGTATTTGACCCCTCTGCAAAGCATGACTTAGTACTTGGTGGCAAAACCCTTGTTGGCAATCACAGAGGTCAGACGTTTCTTGTAGTTGGCCACCAGGTTTGCACACATCTCAGGAGGGATTTTGTCCCACTCCTCTTTGCAGATCTTCTCCAAGTCATTAAGGTTTCGAGGCTGACGTTTGGCAACTCGAACCTTCAGCTCCCTCCACAGATTTTCTATGGGATGGCTAGGCCACTCCAGGACCTTAATGTGCTTCTTCTTGAGCCACTCCTTTGTTGCCTTGGCCGTGTGTTTTGGGTGATTGTCATGCTGGAATACCCATCCATGACCCATTTTCAATGCCCTGGGTGAGGGAAGGAGGTTCTCACCCGAGATTTGACGGTACATGGCCCCATCCATCGTCCCTTTGATGCGGTGAAGTTGTCCTGTCCCCTTAGCAGAAAAACACCCCCAAAGCATAATGTTTCCACCTCCATGTTTGACAGTGGGGATGGTGTTCTTGGGGTCATAGGCAGCATTCCTCCTCCTCCAAACACGGCGAGTTGAGTTGATGCCAAAGAGCTCAATTTTGGTTTCATCTGACCACAACACTTTCACCCAGTTATCCTCTGAGTCATTCAGATGTTCAGTGGCAAACTTCAGACGGGCATGTATATGTGCTTTCTTGAGCAGGGGGACCTTGCGGCGCTGCAGGATTTCAGTCCTTCACGGCGTAGTGTGTTACCAATTGTTTTCTTGGTGACTATGGTCCCAGCTGCCTTGAGATCATTGACAAGATCCTCCCGTGTAGTTCTGGGCTGATTCCTCACCGTTCTCATGATCATTGCAACTCCACGAGGTGAGATCTTGCATGGAGCCCCAGGCCGAGGGAGATTGACAGTTCTTTTGTGTTTCTTCCATTTGCGAATAATCGCACCAACTGTTGTCACCTTCTCACCAAGCTGCTTGGCGATGGTCTTGTAGCCCATTCCAGCCTTGTGTAGGTCTACAATCTTGTCCCTGACATCCTTGGAGAGCTCTTTGGTCTTGGCCATGGTGGAGAGTTTGGAATCTGATTGATTGATTGCTTCTGTGGACAGGTGTCTTTTATACAGGTAACAAGCTGAGATTAGGAGCACTCCCTTTAAGAGTGTGCTCCTAATCTCAGCTCGTTACCTGTATAAAAGACACCTGGGAGCCAGCAATCTTTCTGATTGACAGGGGGTCAAATACTTATTTCCCTCATTAAAATGCAAATCAATTTATAACATTTTTGACATGCGTTTTTCTGGATTTTTTGGTTGGTATTCTGTCTCTCACTGTTAAAATAAACCTAACATTAAAATTATAGACTGATCATTTCTTTGGTAGTGGGCAAACGTACAAAATCAGCAGGGGATCAAATCCTTTTTTTCCCTCACTGTATGTGTGTTCATTGGTGGGACAGGGAAATTCAAAAGATATCCTCACCAAAAAAACAAAACAGAACCACTGAGTGGTACTGTATATCCTCTAACATCAGAGCATACAGTAGGTCAGAGGGTAAGGTATTTGACCTCTCACCTCACAGCGTAGGTCATTCGGTCAGGCCTCAAGGCCCTCATCATACACAGTCTCTGTAGGGAACTCTTATTCTTCCACTCCTGAGGAAACTTCTCATTCTCAGGACACTCCGACTCCACCAACTTCTTCCAACGCTTGGCCGAACCCTCAATGTCCCGGTCCAGGTTACGGAACTCCTCCATGGAACACAGAGACTGGGATGGAGGGATGAATGTACATTCCACATTTGCCAGAAACTACAACTCTGGTGAATATAGATTAATTCATAGATATACAGTCCCTCATCCAAAGTAACCAAAGCTGGAATGCATTTTCTTGTTCTCATAAAATAAAATAAGATTGTATTTGTCACATGCGGCGAATACAACAGGTGTAGTAGACCTTACAGTGAAATGCTTACTTACAAGCTCTTCCCCAATGATGCAGAGTTAAATAATAAAGAAAATATAAAAACACATAAAACACAGGAATAAAGCTACAGTGCATTCGGAAAGTATTCAGACCCCTTGACTTTTTCCACATTTTGTGACGTAACAGCCTTATTGTGTTTGCTAATGTATAAAAAATTTAAAAACTGAACTATCACATTTACATAAGTATTCAGACCCTTTACTCAGTACTTTGTTGAAGCACCTTTGTGGACCTCTGTAGCTCAGCTGGTAGAGCACGGCGCTTGTAACGCCAAGGTAGTGGGTTCGATCCCCGGGACCACCCATACACAAAAAAATGTATGCACGCATGACTGTAAGTCGCTTTGGATAAAAGCGTCTGCTAAATGGCATATTATTATTATTACCTTTGGCAGCGATTACAGCCTCAAGTATTCTTGGGCACGACGCTACAAGCTTGGCAAACCTTTATTTGGGGAGTTTCTCCCATTCTTCTCTACAGATCCTCTCAAGCTCTGTCAGGCTGGATGGGGAGCGTTACTGCACAGCTATTTTCAGGTCTCTCCAGAGATGTTCGATTTGGTTCAAGTCCGGGCTCTGGCTGGGCCACTCAAGGACTTTCAGAGACTTGTCCCGAAGCCACTCCTGCGTTGTCTTGGCTGTGTGCTTAGGGTTGTTGTCCTGTTAGAAGATGAACCTTCACCCCAGTCTGAGGTCCTGAGCGCTCTGGAGCAGGTTTCCATCGAGGATCTCTCTGTACTTTGCTCCGTTCATCTTTCCCTCGATCCTGACTAGTCTCCCAGTCCCTGCCGCTGAAAAACATCCCCACAGCATGATGCTGCCACCGCCATGCTGCCACCACCATGCATCACCACAGGGATGGTGCCAGGTTTCCTCCAGACGTGACGCTTGGCGTTCAGGCCAAAGAGTTCAATCTTGGATTCATCAGACCAGAGAATCTTGTTTCTCATGGTCTGAGCGTCTTTAGATGCCTTTTGGCAAACTCCAAGCGGGCTGTCATATGCCTTTTACTGAGGAGTGGCTTCCATCATAAAGGCCTGATTGGTGGAGTGCTGCAGAGATGGTTGTCCTTCTGGAAGATTCTCCCATCTCCACAGAGGAACTCTGGTGCTCTGTCAGAGTGACATCGGTTTCTTGGTCACCTCCCTGACCAAGGCCCTTCTCCTACGATTGCTCAGTTTGGTCAGGCGGCCAGCTCTAGGAAGAGTCTTGGCTCCAAACTTCTTCCATTTAAGAATGATGGAGGCCACTGTGTTCTTGGGGACCTTCAATGCTGCAGAAATGTTTTGGTAACCTTCCCCAGATCTGTGCCTCGACACAATGCTGTCTCGGTGCTCTACGGACAATTTCTTCGACCTCATGGCTTGGTTTTTGCTCTGACATGCATTGTCAACTGTGGGACCTTATATAGACAGGTGTGTGCCTTTTCAAATCATGTCCAATCAATTGAATTTACCACAGGTGGACTCCAATCAAGTTGTAGAAACATCTGAAGGATGATCAATGGAAACAGGACGCACCTGATCTCAATTTCGAGTCTCATAGCAAAGGGTCTGAATACTTATGTAAATAAGGTATCTTTGTTTTTTATAAATCTGCAAACATTTCTAAAAACCTGTTTTCACTTTGTCATTATGGGGTATTGTGTGTAGATTGATGAGGAAAACCTTAATTTAATCAATTTTAGAATAAGGCTGTAACGTAACAAAATGTGGAAAAAGTCAAGGGATCTGAATAATTTCCAAATGCACTGTATATACAAGGAGTACCATAACCATATCAATGTGCAGGGATACATGGTAATTGAGGTAGATATGTACAGTGGGGAGAACAAGTATTTGATACACTGCCGATTTTGCAGGTTCTCCTACTTACAAAGCATGTAGAGGTCTGTTATTTTTATCATAGGTACACTTCAACTGTGAGAGACGGAATCTAAAACATTGTATGATTTTTAAGTAATTCATTTGCATTTTATTGCATGACATAAGTATTTGATCACCTACCAACCAGTAAGAATTCCGGCTCTCACAGACCTGTTAGTTTTTCTTTAAGAAGCCCTCCTGTTCTCCACTCATTACCTGTATTAACTGCACCTGTTTGAACTCGTTACCTGTATAAAAGACACCTGTCCACACACTCAATCAAACAGACTCCAACCTCTCCACAATGGCCAAGACCAGAGAGCTGTGTAAGGACATCAGGGATAAAATTGTAGACCTGCACAAGGCTGGGATGGGCTACAGGACAATAGGCAAGCAGCTTGGTGAGAAGGCAACAACTGTTGGCGCAATTATTAGAAAATAGAAGAAGTTCAAGATGACGGTCAATCACCCTCGGTCTGGGGCTCCATGCAAGATTTCACCTCGTGGGGCATCAATGATCATGAGGAAGGTGAGGGATCAGCCCAGAACTACACGGCAGGACCTGGTCAATGACCTGAAGAGAGCTGGGACCACAGTCTCAAAGAAAACCATTAGTAACACACTACGCCGTCATGGATTAAAATCCTGCAGCGCACGCAAGGTCCCCCTGCTCAAGCCAGCACATGTCCAGGCCCGTCTGAAGTTTGCCAATGACCATCTGGATGATCCAGAGGAGGAATGGGAGAAGGTCATGTGGTCTGATGAGACAAAAATAGAGCTTTTTGGTCTAAACTCCACTCGCCGTGTTTGGAGGAAGAAGAAGGATGAGTAAAACCCCAAGAACACCATCCCAACCGTAAAGCATGGAGGTGGAAACATCATTCTTTGGGGATGCTTTTCTGCAAAGGGGACAGGACGACTGCACCGTATTGAGGGGAGGATGGATGGGGCCATGTATCGCGAGATCTTGGCCAACAACCTCCTTCCCTCAGTAAGAGCATTGAAGATGGGTCGTGGCTGGGTCTTCCAGCATGACAACGACCTGAAACACACAGCCAGGGCAACTAAGGAGTGGCTCCGTAAGAAGCATCTCAAGGTCCTGGAGTGGCCTAGCCAGTCTCCAGACCTGAACCCAATAGAAAATCTTTGGAGGGAGCTGAAAGTCCGTATTGCCCAGCGACAGCCCCGAAACCTGAAGGATCTGGAGAAGGTCTGTATGGAGGAGTGGGCCAAAATCCTTGCTGCAGTGAGTGCAAACCTGGTCAAGACCTACAGGAAACGTATGATCTCTGTAATTGCAAACAAAGGTTTCTGTACCAAATATTAAGTTCTGCTTTTCTGATGTATCAAATACTTATGTCATGCAATAAAATGCAAATTAATTACTTAAAAATCATACAATGTGATTTTCTGGATTATTTTTTTTTTTTTAGATTCCGTCTCTCACAGTTGAAGTGTACCTATGCTAAAAATGTCAGACCTCTACATGCTTTGTAAGTAGGAAAACCTGCAAAATCGGCAGTGTATCAAATACTTGTTCTCCCCACTGTACATATAGGCAAAGGTAATGCCACTAGGTTAATTCATATACACAGTATTTTTCCACCGCTCTGGTTATTTGCTCTCATTGTTTACCTCACATAAGTGCCACAAAGGAGAAAAGTTTGGGTTGGAAAAGTCACATAATAAGAAGACAGAGTGCTTATCTTCTCTTACGCCAATATGAGTTGTATTTATTCAAACCGTAGTGCTGAGTAGACATTAGGCTGTTTATAACAGGGGGTAGAAGAGAATATGCTTCGGCAGCACAAACCTGGCACATACTGTAGACTTTTATCTGACAGCATTTGTTCTTATCTCAGCTTTGGATCTCTGAAAAACAGTGGCCTCACAGAGTGCTCTGAATGTCACACACACAGACGGGCGCACACACCCACCCACCGATGGACGAGCACACACACGCACACACACACACGCACACACACGCACACACACACGGGCACACACACGGGCACACACACGGACACACACACACGGGCACACACACACGGGCACACACACACGGGCACACACACACACACCTGTCCTCTCAGTCCCTGTCAATCAAGTCAAGGTCCTATCGAAGTACATCACAACTCCTTCCCCAGAAATACCCACCACGGCCCTTAATGAGCTAAGATGAAGTCACTCCAACTCCTCCACTTAGTTAATTACCAGTATCTGGGTTGGCAGATTCTCAGTCAGGAGAGAATACTTCAGCCCCCTGTGGCTTCCTCCCCATCCCATCCTTCTAATATAAATCTAAGAGGGCCAAGGCTGCCAGGCACTATCACAGGATCTCATCCTCATTTAGGCCTCTCCAACTGATTATGTTCCTAACCGTGATAAGAACCAGAGTGACTGAATTAAATTAATGGTACCTAGACCAACGTCTCTGTGGAATAGCAGAAGAGGAGAAGATGGTTTTGGAGTTTAGGATTGTTTGAGTTAATATTGGAGCGGGTCCAGGCTGAAATATTTATGAGTATGAAAGCCTGCGGTACACTGCCATTAGGGTTTAGCTTGTACATAAACTGATTTGATGGGAGGGGGAACCTATGCTCTCTGACGTACAGTACGCAGAGGTACAACGAAGCTAGACATCTGCTCTCAATGCTACTGTAAACCCTTAGCAAGTGGGGACGTCGTAGCTCTGCACCTTTTCGGAAAGATCTCTCTCTGGCTCTCTTCATATATCTCTCTCTCTATGGTGTTTGTGCGCCACTGGTTGCCCTTTTCTTGTGGCAACAGGTCACAAATCTTGCTGCTGTGGTGGCACAATGTGGTATTTCACCTAATAGATATGTGAGAGTAGTGAACGCTTGAGAGGCAGCAACTTCTGAAATGAAAAGTTTTTTAAAAAGAATGGCATGCCTTTGGCATTTTATACATGTTTTAGCAGTAATACTCTATTGCTGTCACACCCTGATCTGTTTCACCTGTCTTTGTGATTGTCTCCACCCCCCTCCAGGTGTCACCCATCTTCCCCATTATCCTGTGTATTTATACCTGTGTTCTCTGTTTGTCTGTTGCCAGTTCGTCTTGTCTCGTCAAACCTACCAGCGGTTTTCCCGTACTCCTGTTTTGCTCTAGCCCGTTTTCCAGTTTTTCCCGGTTTTGACCATTCTGCCTGTCCTGACCCTGAGCCTGCCTGCCGTTCTGTACCTTGTGACACTGCTCTGGATTACTGACCTCTGCCTGCCCTTGACCTGTCGTTTGCCTGCCCCCTGTTTTTGTAAATACACTTTTGCTATTTCGAACTGTCTGCATCTGGGACTTAATCCTGAGTCGTGATAATTTCAGTGTTTCCCAACTCCGGTCCTCCAGTACCCTGAACAGTTCACATTGTTGTTGTAGCCCTGGACAAACACACCTCATTCAACTCATTGAGGGCTTTATGATTAGTTGACAAGTTGAATCAGGTGTGCTTGTCCAGGGTTACAATAAAAATGTATACTGTTGGGGGTACTTGAGGACCAGGATTGGGAAACACTGCTCTATTGTAGTGGAAGTAGATTTCACTGCACCCATTATGTTATGTTATCTTCCGCAGATGTACTGAGTTATGGAGTGGAAACAGACTAAGTGCTAAAATAACTACAGGGGAAAAATGAGTTCAGTCATATGTAAATGACAAGGATAGTCAGTAGATGGTTTGTTCTAAAGTATGTAGGAGGATGAAGTTACCCCTAGACACTGATTTAAAGTAGTTTAGCATGTTGTCCCCTGATGATAAAGGTTTGGCTTTTGTGGGGTAAACTGATCCTAGATCTGTGGTTAGAAGCGTCTTCAACCTCGACCGTGAAGGTCTGACGTCTTCACTTCCTGTTTGTCTCACCTTGATCCCGCCCCAGGAGTGGTTGGACAGGAAGTCGACAGGAGAGGTCACTCCTGGTTGGACGGGATACCTCAGCAGGAAATCTAACTCTGTAGGGTTGATCTCCTTATTCATCAACAGGATCTGGGTTCACAATGACAAAAAACATATGGTCAAAATAGCATTCATTCCTATATTGTTCTTTTTTAAAGACAAAAAAGGAAGCCTCTGCAGTTTTAAAGGGCAATAATAAGTACCTAATATTTGTCACTGTGTAATGACATGTAAAAACATTTCTATTTGACCATAAATGGACAATAAAGCTTTTATTGAACTTTGAACTCTGACTTTCTGTGTACCTGGAAGACGAGCTGTGCAATGTATGTGAGTTTATCACATTCAAATAGGCCTCTGGTGGTATACTGGAACACTTGGACAGTGATGCTGTCTATCAGGTTAGACACTCTCTGTTTCAACACTTCGTCTGCCTGGGCCTTCAGCACCGCATTCTGGAACACTACACTAAACGCCTGGAGCATAGAAACACAATGGATAGAACAGACTCAGTATTGCCTGGGATAAGAAACACTATGCATAGAACATTCTGGAACACCACACTGAACGCATGGAGCATAAAAACACAATGGATAGAGCAGACACTTCTAGAACCCAAATTATTTATTTCCTGAAACATATCTAAAGTACGAGCTGGCTGGCAATTGTACAACAGACTGTATTTAAAATCTATGTGTCTGCCCTGTGTGTTTTATCTACAGCAGAGACATTTCACCTGATGATAAAAATGGCTGCATTGGACCTTTGATCAGATGAAATGTCTCTGTTGTAGATAAAACACACAGGGCAGACACATAGATTTTAAATACCGTCTGTTGTACAATTGCCAGCCAGCTCGTACTTTTCTGGGTAACAATTAAGTGCCCTACTGTGATTGTTTTCAATTAAAATCGTCAAAAAAAACTGAAATAGCTTCTTAGCAAAGAGCAATTCCTCTAGCAAGAATTTTGCTAGGAGTGGTCTGAGTGGGAGGGGAAAACTGAAAATGTGCTGTTATTGGAAGAGAGGTTTGGAACTCTTTTTCTTATTGGTCTATTAACTAATTTACCGCCTGTATATAATCACCAGGCAGGCCAAAATTCCATCCCACCAAAACAGGCTGAACTTTCAGGCGGTCTTTTCAAACAGCTTTTACACTAAAAGGGCATTATCATCATTTTCATAATGTCACAGTATTATTCCAAACTCATAGTGTGGAAATATATATAAAACAACGTTTTTGACTGCACTGGGCCTTTAAACTCTATACAGTTGGCCCAGGGTGGCTAGCTACCTGCAGAGAGCAGTGTGATTGCAAACCATACCTCACCCTGTGACAATAGCAGGGACATTAGGTGGAGCATAACAGCGGTAGGAAGCGACAAAAACAAAGAGCAGAAAGCATAAAACACTGGAAACTAATGGAGGAAAAGGAAGAGAACAGAGCAGCGTGCGTAAAGACTTAGCTTACTGGGGAGCTCTGAGGCCGGGGGGAACATGGTGGGTTATTAGACAACGTATCTAGAGAGAGAGAACAGTGAACTGTGTGTGTGTGTGTGCGCTCACTAGGGAGTGTCAATAACAGGTCAGGTCAATAGAGAGGTGGGTGTACCTTGAGAGAGAACTGGTACATTGGGTGGATCTTATTGAGGTCGTTCATTATGAAGTACAATAAGGAGGCTCGGGCTGCCGCAGGCCGATAGTGCTCCCGCGCCTCGTTGATTTTGGCCTCAGTCACCTTGGCTTCTTTCACCTGCAATGCACACACAGCAAACACACACACACCCACACACACATAAACACTCACGTAAATACACACACAAAGGCACGTAAAACACACACAGGACTCATTCACCAGCCAGGGAAATTATAGCAAATTATAACAGCGAGTACAATAACATAATATCCAACTGAACAAAGCAGCCATCCAATTCAACATGCCTATAGAGAAGGTGAAAAATATGTTGCCACACATTTACTGAACATACCAGTATTACCAAAGTAGTGGCACTTTGTAAAGGAATCCACTCTCACATCTCAGTCTCTAAGTGGTGTCCTTGAGCCTAATGAGTCACTAATGAAGAGCTTTTCTACTGCTCACTTGCCAAGTTTCAATATTTGTGATTGTGCCAACGTTTCGATCTACAGTGAGCGAGTACAGTAAGCTGTGAGCAGGAGGCTCTGCATCAGTTTGGAGATTACTCTTTCCTGCCGTCAAATGACCAAATCACACTCTAGTGGCCTCATGGCTGGAATGTTATTCATATTTTTCATAACTCAACGTTTTTGTTTTTTTGGTGGAAAATCTGGTGTTTCTATGTCAAACGGTTTTGTAATATTCCAGTCTACTGTGATGTATATAAAGTGTAATATTGGGATGCAAACTCAAAATGTAATACATTTCAACTCTATATCTGACATGGTACAGGTGTCTTCTTTTTTTAAGCCCATAACCATTTTGTTTCAATGTAGATTTGTTTAAGACTACCAAGAAACACTGTGTGACCCTGATTTAGCCCACTGCAGTAAAAGGTTAATTAAGTACCATTGCTAATAGCTCCTAATTTGTAGGAAGAGAGAGAGAGAGAGAGAGAGAGAGAGAGAGAGAGAGAGCGAGAGAGAGAGAGAGAGAGAGAGAGAGAGAGAGAGAAAGTGAGGGCCAGAAAGAGAGAGAGGGGGGAGTGAGTCGGGGAGAGATGGAGGGGAGGAGAGAGAGCAACCGAGAGGGAAAGAGGGATATCTAGAGTGAGATCTTTCCGAAAAGGTGCAGATCTACGACGTCCCCACTTGCTCAGGGTTTACAGTAGAATTGAGAGCAGACGTCTAGCTTTGTCGTACCTCTGCGTACTGTACGTCAGAGAGCATAGGTTCCCCCTCCCATCAAATCAGTTTATGTACAAGCTAAACCCTAATGGCAGTGTACCGCAGGCTTTCATACTCATAAATATTTCAACCTGGACCCGCTCCAATATTAACTCGAATCATCCTAAACTCCAAAACCATCTTCTCCTCTTCTGCTATTCCACAGAGATGAGAGAGAGAGAGAAAGAGAGACAGACATACAGACTCAAAAACAGACAAAGAAGGAAATATAGATAATAAAAGAGAGAGAACCATACCTTCTCCTCTATCTCTGCGGCAGTGCGTTTGGTGATCTCCAGGTTCTCCACAAGCTCTGTGTCTCCCAGGAAGTTCCCTGAGGCAGAGGAGAGACGGGACAGCAGGTTGTCCTCCAGGGTCTTCAACGTGATCTTAAAACCATTCTGCTGCTTCGTCAGGTTCGACTACAGTAACATACAGACAGAAATAAACCAAATGGTAAATAAAGATTGGACTAAAACACAGAGGAAATAAAACATTGGAGTAACATACACAGAGAAACTACACACAAGGGTCAAAAAGGTAAGATTACCAAACTCAAAGAAACCCAGATAAAGAACCGAAACACAAAATGACAGAATAGAGAGAGGCGTAAAGGTCAGCCATTAAAACAAATCCTCTCTCTTATGTAGAGGCTGACCTGGGGTTATCCTCTAGCTCGCGAGGTGAAGCCAAATGCTAATGTCGCTCTCAGGGTGGACAGTAAAGTTCTAGTCTATTGTATTTTATCCTTAGCAAACCTTGAAAGTTCTGTGACAGGTCGCAGTTGTAAATGAGAACCTGTTCTCAACTGGCTTACCTGGTTAAATAAAGGTGAAATAAAGAAATAAAAAAAAACGAGTCACCAAGGGCGATGGGTTGGCCAGGGTTGGACGATAGTCATGGACTAGATCCAAACTGTTACAGACCTATATCCATCCTGCCCTTCGAAAGTTTTTGAAAGCCAAGTTAACAAACAGATCACCGACCATTTCGTATCCTACCGTACCTTCTCCGCTATGCAATCTGGTTTCCGAGCTGGTCATGGGTGCACCTCAGCCACGCTCAAGGTCCTAAACGATATAATAACCGCGATCGATAAAAGACAGTACTGTGCAGCCGTCTTCATCGACCTGGCCAAGGCTTTTAACTCTGTCAATCACTGCATTCTTATTGGCAGACTAAATAGCCTTGGTTTCTCAAATGACTGCCTCGCCTGGTTCACCAACTACTTCTCAGATAGAGTTCAATGTGTCAAATCGGAGGGCCTGTTGTCTGGACCTATGGCAGTCTCTATGGGGGTGCCACAGGGTTCAATTCTCGGGCCGACTCTATTCTCTGTGTATATCAATGATGTCGCTCTTGCTGCTGGTGACTCTCAGATCCACCTCTACGCAGACGACACAATTTTGTATACATGTGGCCCTTCATTGGACACCGTGTTAACAAACCTCCAAACGAGCTTCAATGCCATACAACACTCCTTCCGTGGCCTCCAACTGCTCTTAAACGCTAGTAAAACTAAATGCATGCTCTTCAATCGAACGCTGCTTGCACCCGACTAGAACTAGAATCACTACTCTCGGCGGGTCTGACTTAAATATATAACACCAAATACCTAGGTGTCTGGTTAGACCGTAAACTCTCCTTCCAGACTCACATTAAGCATCTCCAATCCAAAGTTAAATTTAGAATCATCTTCTTATTTTGCAACAAAGCCTCCTTCACTCATGCTGCTAAACATGCCCTCGTAAAACTGACTATCCTACTGATCCTTGACTTCGGCGATGTCATTTACAAAATAGCTTCCAACACTCTACTCAGCAAATTGGATGTAGTCTATCACAGTGTCATCCGTTTTGTCACCAAAGCCCCATACTCTACCCACCATTGTGACCTGTACGCTCTCGTTGGCTGGCCCACACTACATATTCGTCGCCAAACCCACTGGCTCCAGGTCATCTATAAATCACTTCTAGGCAAATCCCCGCCTTATCTTAGATCATTGGTCACCATAGCAACACCCACCCGTAGTATGCGTTCCAGCAGGTATATCTCACTGGTCATCCCCAAAGCCAACACCTCCTTTGGCCGCCATTCCTTCCAGTTCTCTGCTGCAAATGACTGGAACGAACTGCAAAAATCTCTGAAGCTGGAGACTCTTATCTCCCTCACTAACTTTAAGCATCAGTTGTCAGAGCAGCTTACCGATCACTGCACCTGTACACAGTCCATCTGTAATTAGCCCACCCAACTACCTCATCCCCATATTGTTATTTACATTGTTATTTATTTGGCTCATTTGCACCCCAGTATCTCTATTTGCACATCATCTTCTGCACATCTATCACTCCAGTGTTAATACTAAATTGTAATTATTTTGCACTATGGCCTATTTATTGCCTTACCTCCATAACTTATTACATTTGCACACACTGTATATAGATTTTCTATTGTGTTATTGACTGTACATTTTGTTTATTCCATATGTAACTCTGTGTTGTTGTTGTTTTTATCGCACTGCTTTGCTTTATCTTGGCCAGGTCGCAGTTGTAAATGAGAACTTGTTCTCAACTGGCTTACCTGGTTAAATAAAGGTGAAACAATTATCGGCTGACAAAATGTAATGACCGCCACAGCCCTAGAGGGAGGGAGAGAGGGATGAAGACTATCACTCACTCGCAGGCGATAGGGATGAGTATCACTCAACTGGCTTACCTGGTTAAATAAAGGTGAAAGAAAATAAAAATAAATGTTTGATTAGAAACACTGTTGAACTACGTGTGGCCCACTAATTACTGTAGTTGGTAGATAAACACACATTAAAAAGTTGTGGTGGGGGCTTAATTCAGCGCAGGCATACTGAAGGATGCCTCAAAGGCAGAAGCAATCAATAGTCTCTGCAGAGGCTATCTGGACAGATGAAGAGGAGGCTCTGGGGTGGATTAGAATGTCTTCTTCTCAGGGCTGAGGACATCAAGCAGCGGGCAACAGACTTCCACCACCCTGCTGCCGTCTGATGAGAGTCGATGCTGCTGCAGGATCCACTGGCTTTGATGGTAAACCAAACAAACACAAACACACCGACAGATGCTGGACGGATCACACACGCACACACACACACACACACGCACGCACACACACAAAAGGCACGAACACACACAAACAGACAGGCCGAGGCATACACAAACGCACTCCTGAATACCTGACCACAATGCCCGCACATGGCCTGGATTAAGGGGTATTAATCATCGCACACCATATGGGAGAGGTGAACCTGGCCCTCTGAGAAAGCCTCAACGCTTTGTTTTTAACACCCTTTGTTTTAAAACGCCAGGGTACAACAAAACGTTCACTTTTCAAAGATAGACAGGACCCTTGTTTCGTTGTCCTTCGCTCTGCTTGGCCTTCTGTTGTTTCATCCAAAAAACTTTCCTGCACAGTCTTCTTGCTCTTCTACTGATCGCTTCTTAGTTGTAACCTGGTTGGGTGATTGATTCTAGTTGGTCCCAAAACAATTACATGCCAATGTGTTTCAAATCAGTAACAACAATGGTGTCAAGGACATACTGTATATACACTGCTCAAAAAAATAAAGGGAACACTAAAATAACACATCCTAGATCTGAATGAATGAAATAATCTTATTAAATACTTTTTTCTTTACATAGTTGAATGTGCTGACAACAAAATCACACAAAAATTATCAATGGAAATCAAATTTATCAACCCATGGAGGTCTGGATTTGGAGTCACCCTCAAAATTAAAGTGGAAAACCACACTACAGGCTGATCCAACTTTGATGTAATGTCCTTAAAACAAGTCAAAATGAGGCTCAGTAGTGTGTGTGGCCTCCACGTGCCTGTATGACCTCCCTACAACGCCTGGGCATGCTCCTGATGAGGTGGCGGATGGTCTCCTGAGGGATCTCCTCCCAGACCTGGACAAAAGCATCCGCCAACTCCTGGACAGTCTGTGGTGCAACATGGCGTTGGTGGATGGAGCGAGACATGATGTCCCAGATGCTCAATTGGATTCAGGTCTGGGGAACGGGCGGGCCAGTCCATAGCATCAATGCCTTCCTCTTGCAGGAACTGCTGACACACTCCAGCCACATGAGGTCTAGCATTGTCTTGCATTAGGAGGAACCCAGGGCCAACCGCACCAGCATATGGTCTCACAAGGGGTCTGAGGATCTCATCTCGGTACCTAATGGCAGTCAGGCTACCTCTGGCGAGCACATGGAGGACTGTGCAGCCCCCCAAAGCAATGCCACCCCACCCCACACCATGACTGACCCACCGCCAAACCGGTCATTCTGGAGGATGTTGCAGGCAGCAGAACGTTCTCCACGGCGTCTCCAGACTCTGTCACGTCTGTCACATGTGCTCAGTGTGAACCTGCTTTCATCTGTGAAGAGCAGAGGGCGCCAGTGGCGATATTTGCCAATCTTGGTGTTCTCTGGCAAATGCCAAACGTCCTGCATGGTGTTGGGCTGTAAGCACAACCCCCACCTGTGGACGTCGGGCCCTCATATCACCCTCATGGAGTCTGTTTCTGACCGTTTGAGCAGACACACTGGAGTTCATTTTGCAGGGCTCTGGCAGTGCTCCTCCTGCTCCTCCTTGCACAAAGGCGGAGGTAGCAGTCCTGCTGCTGGGTTGTTGCCCTCCTACGGCCTCCTCCACGTCTCCTGATATACTGGCCTGTCTCCTGGTAGCGCCTCCATGCTCTGGACACTACGGTGACAGACACAGCAAACCTTCTTGCCACAGCTCGCATTGATCTGCCATCCTGGATGAGCTGCACTACCTGAACCACTTGTGTGGGTTGTAGACTCCGTCTCATGCTACCACTAGAGTGAAAGCACCGCCAGCATTCAAAAGTGACCAAAACATCAGCCAGGAAGCATAGGAACTGAGAAGTGGTCTGTGGTCACCACCTGCAAAACCAGTCCTTTATTGGGGGTGTCTTGCTAATTGCCTATAATTTCTACCTGTTGTCTATTCCATTTGCACAACAGCATGTGAAATGTAGTGTTGCTTCCTAAGTGGACAGTTTGATTTCACAGAAGTGTGATTGACTTGGAGTTACAGTGGGGAAAAAAGTATTTAGTCAGCCACCAATTGTGCAAGTTCTCCCACTTAAAAAGATGAGAGAGGACTGTAATTTTCATCATAGGTACACGTCAACTATGACAGACAAATTGAGAAAAAAGAATCCAGAAAATCACATTGTAGGATTTTTAATGAATTTATTTGCAAATTATGGTGGAAAATAAGTATTTGGTCACCTACAAACAAGCAAGATTTCTGGCTCTCACAGACCTGTAACTTCTTCTTTAAGAGGCTCCTCTGTCCTCCACTCGTTACCATTATTAATGGCACCTGTTTGAACTTGTTATCAGTATAAAAGACACCTGTC